AATTGCATAAAAAGATTCTTTACCGTTATTTCTCACTGCCAGACATTGTATCAGAGTGAGCCTTTTCCCTTTTAGGTAAGTTACGATTTCCCAAAGTTATTTGTATTAGCAATGCTGCTCTGTGGTTGGTTGAGCTGTTGCCTTACAACGGGACGGTCCTGGGTTTGACTCTTTGCCTGGGGTGTTTCTGCATCAACGAGTTTGCATGTTCTCCCTGCACATGCATAGGTTTTCTCCGGGTGCTCTGGCTTACTTCCAGAGTCCAAAACCACTTTGGACTTTTGGAAGCAATCGTCTGCAAACATTTTTGTGTTTGCAGACGATTTATTGAAAAAAAAAAAAAAAAAAAAAAAAAAAAATATATATATATATATATATAGAACTTATTTGAAATTCAATGGGATATTATAATCACATGGAACAATCAGTAAATATATGTGAAAAATGAAGCTTGCCCTGCAGCAATAAAAATGGTGCATTTGGGTAAAAGCGGTCCCTGATGATGCACAGGCCTCCCCCTGCGTTTATGCAAGGTGTGCGGTTGCATGTGCATGTCGTGTATGCAGGCTAATTCAGCATCTTGCATGTTTCTACTCCTGCACAATGAAGCTTGAAGGAGGGCATCAATCTTTTATGTTATCCCTGGGAAAGTGATTTCCCCCCCTCATCCTTTGGCAGCACAGCACAGGGCTTTACTCCTCCTAGTGGCGGTTGCACGGCACAGGATAGAAATCTCTTTCTTTTCAAGAACTACACTTTGTGCTCATCTATCATCATGAGTTTTTATGCACCATCAACACGGTGTAGATAAGGAATCGTCCATTAATGACTACACAATTAGAGAGAAGGCTTTAAAGAGCGGTAGGTTTCAATTTAGGAACCATAAACCTAGTGAGTTGGGAACTAATTGTAACTGCCTCTTGAGAAATGGAGGGCCCTTCCAGATGAGGTCCGAGTGACTCAAAATCAGTTTCAAACAGCTTTTAAAAGGCTGTTTCAGTCATCCACTTCTGACAGGCTTATGCGTATTTCATTTGATTTACTCTCAGAGAAACTTTTCAAGTTTTAATTAAAAGACAGGGCTCTTTCCCGACATTTTGGAGACGGCAAAACAGAAGGTGGAGACAGACCTGTCCCAGAGAGACCACGTATCTTTGGACAAAAAGACTCTCTCGCTCCATTTGTCATCGTTCGTCTCCTCGTTTCTCAGGTTCTCTCGCCCCATGTTCCAGCATCTGAATACCTTTGGGGTAGAGGTGGAAAGTGAGGAGATGAAGCCGTTCCCATCCCACTGCTCCCTCGGGAGCTTGGGTTGGTTTGTGATCTTTTATCTCACATGATAGAGACACATCTAATCCTGTTAGGATTTAATATCTTTCTGTGGCAAAGAGGAGGCAACAGGAAGGGTGAAGGGGGTGGGGATGAAAGCCACAATGTTTGAGGAGGTAGCGGGATGTTTTCTTTTTCTTTATTTGCTGGCCCACATATTTCTTTTAGTTTGGAGTGTACATATGCACGTGTTTGTGTTCCTTTGCTTGCGTGCCCTCGTGGGATCGTCCCGGCTGCTGCCTGCATGTCTGACAGCCTCCTCTCAAGGTGTTTTCCTCTTGCTGTCTTTCTGTATCTGCTCCATCTTTGCTCCCTCAGTGAGAAAGTTTCCCCTCAAGGCCCCATCTGAGCTCCAGGCCCCCCAAGACCTCCGCATTCCCAAAGCCCCCTACACACAGGAGCCCCTCAGGCTCCATGCCGGACCACAGGGAATACCCCCCAACCCCCCCAAGAACCCCAAGGCCTCTCAGACGGCAAAGCAGCACAAGAGCTCTACAGCCCGAGGGGAGGGTAAAAGCTGTCTGGGAATACAACTAAGAACATGCTTCACTTAGCAGTCAAACAGCCCCTGACAGCGCCTCCTGGTGGTGTAGATTTGTTTTCGCACACAGGCCTCCTTGTAACTCAGTGAATTTTTGTCTCTCGGGCCTTGACCTTGTTAACAGTCCCCTTGGGGTCAGAGGGGCCAGTGTGGACTGCATGTGCACTGACCTTTCCAGCTCCCAGAGGTTGGAGAACAGCTTTTTAACCCGGAGAATCTCAACAGGAGACAGATGTTGATGCAGGACATACATGGGTTTAACTAAACCCAGATATATAAAAACACAATTTCCTTTGATTTGCTGCACTGCAAAGAAAACAAAGGTTTAAACTTGTCGAATAAGCTTTGTCAGTACTCCTGGTGATTTGTGCAGGACATAAAACAATGCACTTGCACTGAAAAAGAAAAGCTTCAAGATGCTTTGGTTGCGGAGTTTGTTTGTGAAGCTAGCATGCCTGCTGTCCTACAGATGTCTTGGATTGTGCATTACCAGGTGTACGTCACCTGAGATTACCCACGCCGACACCCCTGAAAGGCAAATAGCCAGCAGTACAGCTGAGGGGGCATCTGGTGGCGTGTGTGCATGTAAGTTCGAGTGTGTTCATGCATTCAGATCGGAGCTAACGTTTCACAGGAGGGGATAGAATCGTGGCGCACATTTGCTGTGTTGGTGGAGAGCTGAAATCTACCACAGCGTTCGGTCAGAAACCTTCTCATTCACGAGGAATGCAGTGAATCGGGTAGATCAGCGCCGGGGTCGAGGTCAGCGTCTCTCCAAAAGCATGTGATAATGTCGGCAGTAAAGACTGAGGATGTTTAAAGCATTTGGCTCTCGTCTGCGGTCTCTTTTAAGAGTGAACTGGAGTGAGTAAAGTCTTCAACTCGGCGATTCTTGTGATCTCCCCCCATGATTCACAACGCCCCTGCCGAGCCAGAACAAAGAGCAGTCCGTCCTAATCAAAGTGCATAGGATTAAGAAACAGGAAAGAAAACCCAACATCACAGAGATAGTGCCTCACAGCCATTATGCGGATTGGAAAACAACCTGAAGGATGGCTAAAATGAACCGAGTCTGACCCTGAGGCAGGAGGAAGGCATTTTAATCTTTGTTAGCGCTGCAACTGTAAGGCTCTGCAGCAGGAATTAACCACTGCAGGTGCAAGAATGGGAGACACTGTAGTAAAAAAAAAAAGTTTTTGTTCACTGTTCAACAGCTAAAGTTAATGTTTGAGAGTCTGACACATCTGCAGAAAAGTAGAGTAAAAGACAAGCCAGTAAAACAAATTGTATAACTAGATAATTGCATCATTAGACATCTTGGAGAAGAGAAATCACCTGAATGTACATAAGCCAAACTTTCTGAAATACATGATTCTGCAGATTAATTCATAATTCGGGACAAGCCACCCTGATCTGGGAGCAGCAAGAAAATGTGTTACGTTTCAAACGTCAGACAAATGTCTGAAAAAAGAAGAAGCAGATGAAAAAAAAAATGCTTGAAGCTGTCTTGAGTCCTTCGGTTCTTGACAGCAAGTGTAGATAGTGACAACGGTCTGAATGGCCTCTGTTTACATGTCTTTTTGTGTTTGTATGCACTGAAGGATCAAATATCTTAATCCACTTCTAAATATATCCATCCTGCATGTGCGTGTTTGCATTGTTTTTTTTTTCCGTTTACATGACAAAATTTTCCCTGATAGCTGGGCAGCAGCTCTTTCTGCCCACATTCAGCCATGTTTTATTAACGTACCTGCAGTGGCTGAATCATCTCATCTCTTGCACACAAGCTGACACACAACTCCGTCCACAACATTTATATTTAAAGATGACAGGCTCACTATGAATGGGCCCCCTTGTTTCTCCCTTTCACTGAGATCACCAAAAGTGTTGTGCATTTTCAGAACCAAGTAGGAGGCCAAGAGCAGAGCGGACATGTGCAGTCTGAAGTCTGAGGTGGAGGGAAGTAAATCCCATTTGGACTGAACATGCTGACACTGCCACCATGTGGCTCCAATGTGGTAAAAATCAAATCGTGGACAGGTCAGCTTGAAGGACAAGCTTATTTGTTCTTCAGATGAGCTTGACAAAATACAGTTTTGACAAATTTATTTTGTCAGAAAGTTTATTGACTTTGTACAAACGTCGTGATATATTTCAAGTATTTATTCCTGGTAAGTTTGATCATTATAGCCTGCAGCTGATGAAACCCCAAAATCAGTTTCAGAAAATTATATTTAAAAAGACCAGTTACAAGCCTCTTATAATAGAAACGTCAGCAGTGTACCGATAAGTGAATCTATGTCCTCTATAGTGCATGGAAGGCAATTGTTCTGTGCCAAAGTAACTTGAGTTTAGAAGAGGTTCAGTACAAGGAACGTGTCTGTTGTGGCCCATGTCCTTACCTCAAACTGCTGTCCACATCTTCTGAATTTTCCCCATAGCCAGCCCTTCCATGAACTTTGATTTACTCTCAATTCAATGTTGCTGTTTTCTGGGGCACTTTTTCCTTCCACTTAACTTTCCATTGATATACTTGGATAGGGGACTCTCTGAACAGCTACTTTCTATAGCAACAATCTCTCATTCTGTTTTATGTATGTGTTTTATTTGGTTTCATATAATATTGAAATGTTGCTATAACAAAGTGTTTCATTAGCTGGAAGCCAAAGTCTTAATAATGAAAGAAATAAGCACCTAACATTACTATACTATGTTTGTAATCAATATGTATGAGTTTTTGATTTTGAATTGAATTCCTGAAATAAATTGACTGTTCAATGATATAATTTACTGGGATGGACCTGTCCTGATTATGATGTTTATCCTGTGTAGATGGGGTTTGGGGGTGTAGCTTCAGTCTAGTGGACCTGAACCATACCTCCATGTTCTCTAATGAGATTTAATGGGCCACAGATGTTACTGGTTATGAAGATGTGTGTCAGAGATTTAAGAGGGTCAGACCTGCATCTTGTCAGAGTCACAGAGGGGCACCGTTTTACTGTCTTTCACCGCCGGCACACACCAACACTGCTCATAGGTGGCCTCTCTTATTCTGACAACACCCAATACTCTGTGTCTTTCACACACACACACACACACACACACACACACACAGTCGTTCACACTGAACACTGATGTCAAATCAGTTTTATGAAACAGCACAGATAGTGCCTAAGGAATGTCTGGAGTGTTACAAAAAGGCACCACGTACGATATATACAAAGCACTTTGGTGAGTAATACCAACTTTAAGGCATATAAAAATGTAGACAAAAAAAGTGGGAATAAGAGTCCGTTTTCGTGATCTTAATGCAAAATCCGTAACATTTTCAAAGTCGGACAAAAATCAAACAAAAAACAAAACAGTGCAAGTACATGACAATAGAATAGTGTATTAATGTTTTCCTCATCATCACCCATAAACAGCAAAAAAAAAAAAAATATATGTATATATCCTTGGCTCAGAATTTGTGTGGCACTCTCTCCTCTCAAGGTCTGAGATTTGACGCGATGTAACCTTAACGAGCGGCGGTTGAGGAGTATCCTGATGATTTTAGCCAGTCTGTTCTTCTGGCATCAGATGTCTGACTGATGCCGCCGTCAGCTGCACTCACCGCTTCACCACGTCTGGCAGGCCACCTTAAACTGCTGACCAGGCTCCGGGCATGTTTCTCCGCGAGCTGGCACAACATATTGTCACCTTCTTCTTCTTCATGTTACTCCCCAGCCTCTCGCTGCTCAGATGGCAGGCTGCAGCTTGGTCAGGTTCCTCTGGTGCATGCTGTTGTGGCGCACCAGCTCGTCAGAGCGAGCAAACTTCTTCTGACAGTTGGGCCAGCGGCAAGTAAAGGGCTTCTCACCTGACAAAAAGTGGACAAACGAAGAAAAACAAAACAAAACAAAACAAAACCGAAGAAGACAGTGCTTTAGAATAACAGGCGGTGCAGTAAAGTGCATGAGTTGAATTCAGAACAATTGAGAGGAAGAAAATAAAAGGTATACGCACTTGTTTTACCTGTATGAGTCCGAGTGTGTGTCTTAAGGTGATCTGACCGTGAGAACTTTCTCTGACAGGTCTCACACTCAAAGGGCTTCACTCCTGCAGACGTGACGGTCACAGTCACAGTGGAAAAATGTCAAGAGGAAGGGTGGGGAGTCAGAGTGTGAATGCACAATTAGATGGAGCAATCACTGTCGAACACTGGCTGCGGTGCAAACAGCATCGTTACGATTTCAAAACAAAACAATGTCCTTGTATTTTATGACTTGAAGGGATTTCTGTTGTTTACATATAGGGTGCGTTCACACTGCAGCCTGAAGTAGCCCAATTCCGATTTTTTGGCAATTCCGATTTTTTTGCAGGGGCCGTTCACACTGCCAGTAAATGTGATCTGTATGTGAACGGGCAAGCGACCTGAAAGTGTCCCGCATGCGCACTAGAGGGCGCAATAGCGTCAGCGTTCTCAGTGTTCTGGCAACTGCCATAAAAAGAAGAAGTGCTCAGTGTTTGTGGAAGTAAACATGGAGGCTAATGGTGGAGCTTAGCTTACATATTTGAAGTTGTTGTCCAGCCGGAGCAGCATATTAACAACTCAATCCTCGTATTGTCCGTCATGGTTGTTGTTTTTCTTCCCACTTGCGCGTATCAGGACGCATAATAGTGAGATTTGTTGAGAATCAGTGAAGTTCAGTTCGGATGAATGCGGCCTGAACGTTAGGTCGCATTTGAATCGGATACGTATCGGATATGGGTCACATTCGAAAAAGAATCCGACCTGTGCTGTTCACACTGCCGTGAAAAGATCGGATACAGGTCGCATTACGTCAAAAAAATCGGAATTGGGTCACTTCAGGCTGCAGTGTGAACGCACTCATATATAAGTCAGAAAGAAACAAAAATATATTTATATTTATTTCTTGTGTATTGTTCATATTTAATGATATAGTGCTCAAACTTATACAATACATTACTATTATAATATTAATAGCAGTAATCCATGATAGAAATCTCACAGTAATTAGCAACAGTAGGGTTTTATTTACCACAAAGTGCCACAAAGTGTGTGTACGTAGAAACGTCTTATTTTAACAGGTTTCTGCCTCCAGTCATGATACAGATTGGAGGCAATATGAAAAACAGGTTAAGTAAACGTACCTGTGTGTCTGCGTTGGTGTCTCTTCAGCTGATCTGAGCGAGAGAACCTGCGGCCACAATCCGTGAAATCACACCGGTAAGGCCTTTCTCCTGCAAAACAACCCCCAATGCCACTGACATTAGCATTTCTTTATCCCTTTTGGTAGCCCAGATGTGCAAGAATCAACTTATATATTTTTGTAGCGCTCACCTGAATGTTTTCGGCCATGCATCTGCAGATGCGACTGCTTGAAGTATCTCTTGTTGCAGCCGGGATGAGTGCACACAAAAGGGCGCTTCTCGTTGGCCTCTGCAGACTTTGCCGCTGCAGGAGCAATGCCGGGTACCCGTCTGACATCCTTGGAAAGACAGAAAAACACAACAGAGGTACTTGTTAAGTAATTTGCTTATTTAGTACAGGTGTATATGCGTATGCGTTTCGGTTATCTGACTGACCTGGAGTCCCTTGAAAACGCCGTGTGTGTGAATGTGGTACTGGGCGCTGACGAGCATGGGCGGGGCCGGAGCTGGAGGGTCACTGTCATAACTGATTCCATGACTGCTGGCAAGTGCAGATTAATAAAATGCAAGCAAGTGAGGTGGATGTGAGGTTTCAGAACAAACTAAAACGAAGCAAAAAAAAAAAAAAAACTAAACTAAACAAAACAAAAAAAGCTTCTTAACTGTAACATAAACTGCAACAAACTTATCTGGCAGCTTTTAAATAGATTTCTGTTACGTGAAACAGAAACGTGTTATGTCACGTCATGTGAGCTGCGCTTGACTAAACCACATCTGAGTCAGAAAATGATTGTGTTTGATCGTCATATAGCCATTTGTTCATAAAGATACATTTGACTAAAAAGACAAATATATCCTTTAGTCTTCATAATACATGAAACATTCAAAGGTGAAACTCATCAAATACAAAATATACAGATAAAGACACTAAGTATATATATGTAAACTCTTCTCTGTGCCCTGTTTGTACTACTGGCAACAGCCGCGCAGCTAAAATCCTCTTCCTCCTCCTTTGTAGAGCTCCACCGAACCCGGCCCAAGGACTAATGAAGATGCCATTTTAAAAAATATATAGTTAAAAAACAAAAAGCGGTCTCACCTCTTCATTGTTGATGTCAGTGTGTTCATTTGGTTCCATGTGACGCATTCCAGCTGAGATGCCATTTGGTACAGATTATCACTGACATCAAAAGAAAATAGTATCATGAGACGACATGAAGGTGATTAGATGAAGACATTGTGTTTTTAAAGGAACCCCTGATAGTTTGCTCATTAACTCTTTCCACCCACCCACCAAACTATAGTGCTCTCATTATAAAACACATTGAGGCTGTTTTTACCTCGGCAGAACCCACTGCCAACACAGACACACAGACACACACACACACACACAGGCATGCACACTTTTAAAGAAGCGATTGCACTCTCTGTGGGAGTGAACGCCTTCGTGCCTAGTACACCCTGGACCAGAGCATGACATCACTCTGTCCTCAGCATCATTAGTGGCGGGAAACGGTTTCGGGGGAATTCTGGACGGCATTCCTTGAGAAGTCCTTGAGGGAAGGATCGCGATGGCTCGCTAATCAGTCCTGAGCTATGGTAAACTATGGGAAGACTCATTGACGTCTGACGTGTACTTGCCGTGTGTGTGAGCGTGTGCACGCACATGCGTGCCGGCGTGCTCGCTTGAGGGTTTCCAGTTCCTGCCATGAGCTCTAACAGCAGCACACTCTTCCTCCCGCTTATCTGCTGCTGTCCCAATATTTGGGTTGCACATGTTTCTTTTCTCCAACAACATCTCCAGTCGGCATCTAAAGAATGTCCTCCTAATTTACTGCTTGAGATGCTTTACATCAAAACGAACACAAGTTGAAGACACATTTAGTGTCTGAAACAACCAAGTCTCACACGTTCACTGAACTTGTCTGTTGTACTTTCTTCCTCGTTTTTTTTTTTTTTTTTTTTCCCCTCAGCGAGGACTCGGACGCATCAGCGGCAGGTCACTGTGTGTTTGTTTTGGCCTGCTGAGCACCAGTAGGCAGCACTTAACCTCAGAACAAACGAGGATTCATGATACAGACAACGCAGAAGCCAATGCAGAGCTCCTGCATGGGATCAGAGACGGTTCACACTTCCAAAAATTACCAAGAAATCGTCAAGCAAGTGGAAACAATCTGACGTTGACAGATGAGCGAGGAGTCCAAAAACGTTGGCGTTAAGAGGGAAAATTTCGTTCAAGGGTGATTGAAGACAGACAGAGTGAAAAGCAGGAGCAATAAACGTGCGAAGAGGGGATAGTTGTACCTGTTGTAGTTTCTCAGCAGCAGAGCTTGATTGCTTGGGCAGGATTCTGGAGGACTGTGGCAGCCAAACATGGGATTTGGTGTGGAGTACTGCTGATCAACTGAAACAATGAGATGGAAAACGTTCATTTAAAATGGATCAGCATTGCGTGACCTTTAAATAAGACAGGCTGAAACCCCTGTCTGCCTTTCTTGGCCCTTCACCCTGCTTTTTCTATTGTGCAGGGTGTTTCGAACGTCTTTGTGAATAAGGAAGAGGACTTCTTGCCCTTAAAATAAAAAAATAATAATAATAATTTTTGGGATAACTTGGAATCAGTAATATATTTGGTTCCAAATACACTCAAAAATATAAAGCTGCTGTCCGACTGTTAAATATTTTGCCATGTGTGTTGCAAATCCTTCCATGTCTTTGAAGTGTGTGTCTCGCTTTTGATGCACGCCTGGTTTGAATAGTGTGTATGCACTGAAAGCAAGTAATAAAAAAAAAAGTAAAATTATTTACTATTCACGTGAGGTAGGCAGTAGAAACATTATGCTGAGACCAAACGTCTGCCCCTCCTATGCCCAAACTAATCACTAATGGTGTGACGCAAGTTTAAATGTCAGTTCTCAGCTGAACTTTTACAATAGATTACATGTTTAGTAGTGATCTTTAAAAATTCTCCATCACAAAACAACATAAACAATTACAACCATTACAATTATGTTAATAACAGTGTTATTGTACTTTTCAGGTCTATTAAAAAGAGGAGGAAGTTAAACCCACACATTTTCCTGTTTAAGATATAGAAAAGAAAAGCAGGGGATCCTGGAAATGAGTTTGCTTTTTCATAAAAAAATAAAGTAAAGTAGTAACAATGTTGTGTACTTTTCATGAGCATGTTGGCAATACAGTGATGAAAACCTAAATACAGTCTGAATACATTATATTAGATTAATACTTTGCTAATTTCTGGATAGTATTACCTTTTTGTTACTTATAATCAAGCATAAAAATAATAATAATAATAATGGCATCTGTTTACGCGACAGCTGCAGACATGTTAGTTCACATGTTTATGCACAAGAAACTGTTGATAACTTATAATGTATCCACTTCTCAATACAGCAAAGATGAGAACAAACAGACAACAGAGCAAAAACTAACTTTTGTGCTACAAAAGTTAGTTTGGTAGCACAAAGCTAACCTTTGCTTTGTTGGCTTTGCACCACAGAAAACTAACTTTCGTGTCACAAAAGTTAGTTTATTGGGGTATTTCTGGTAGAAAAGGTCGAAGTTAAAGCTTGAGTATTGAGAATGTGCATTGTATAATTTGCGTATCATGAAACACTGTAAGATCCAACAAAAACCAGACGAACATCATTCTTCCTTGGAGAGCTCAGAAATATTATTGTATCTGCGTGCACTTTCATAATATATTTGTAAAACAAATAATAGTTAATTTAAATGGCTTCCACGTCTCCTCTTTTCAAGACGTTTGACGAGAAACTGTGGTGGTTTTCAGGTTCGTATAGTATACTGCTCCCCAGACAGTTTCTGACATTCCAACAGAGTCTCAGAAAACTATTCCCTTTAAGTTATGATTTCCAAAGTCATCAAGGGAAACTGTGTTTACGCGTGCCAGAAACGGAGACACTTGAATGAAAGTGGATATTAGCGGTGGTGTTTGTGATCTGAGAAATGATGGGTTGCTTCTTATATAACCTTGATGATGAGACGCGACAGTTTTCCAGTCTGGTGGAGACGCGTCCCGGCGCAGACATTTACCTATGCTGTTCGGCGGTGACAGCGTGTCCTCGTGTTTGAAGGACAGGCTGGAGAGCTGGGGAGTGTGATGGGAGGGTGTGTGACCGTAACTGGGGTTGCTGTCTAAACCGACTGCTCCATAACCTGAGAGGGAAAAAAAAAAGAAAAAAACAAATGAAGATGGCGATGGAAACAGAAAAAAAGAAAAAGATGTTATTTTTCCTGCTCGAGCCATTAAAGGTCACAATCTGACAAACGACTTGTGATGTCTTAAAGGTTGCAAAGTTGTTAGGTCGGTTATCTGTACTCTGCTGGTAGTAGCTCTTGGGCCCTGGCAGGGTTACCGCGGAGAGACATTCATCACACAACTAAATCCTCTTTCCTCAGAAACATATTCGTTTTCCCCTCATCTATCTCTGGCCTTGTGGTTGCAAAATTTATGGCAGGTGGAAAAAGAAATCTGGCAAAAACACAAGAGACAGTCTGAGAATGAGCTACTGTTGGATGCGCTTAGTAGAAGAAATGAACAACATCAATCCCAACTCATGTCTTCAACAACAGTAGCTTCACATTTAATACAGAGCACTTTTAAAACATAATGTCAACTTTAAGTGGAGGCTTAATTTTGTTGTATAAATTCTTAAAATGTTTATTTGACACACACTCACACACACACAATCTCACACTGTTACACACACCAATGAGGTACATCCTGAGTTAGGTCCAAGCTGGAAGTTAAATACTTTCTTAGAAAAATGACTCATTAAGTCTTAAATCCTTTAAGCATCTTGAAAATTGTTTTCTGTTTTATTGCTGCATCAGAAACCACTTTCCACTGTAAACTGCATCGGCAGAAACAGCCTACCTTCATTTAAAGATGCGAATTCTGATAGCAAATTAAGAATATGAGATTTTAAGAGGTTTCCAAAACAAGCATATGAGTTGGAGTTTGTGAACTAGATATGTTTTTGTTTTGTTTTTTTCCCCTCCAGATTTCATTTAATGATTAATGAAGTCTTATTTAGACCATGTGTGTCAAAAGATGTGATGGCACGTCTTTCCGTTTGACTTTTATATTTTTGACCTAAGTAGATATCCTGTCGCTAAATGAGCCAGTACAAATCGAGAGTTATTTTTCTCACACGCAGTAAAATTTGACACCTAATTTAAAATGTTTCCTCGCTGCTTAGCCGGTGTTTTTGTTTTTTGTTTTGCTTCAAAATAAATAACCAGAGTGAAATATGTGCTGTAAGGCTTTGTATAGTTCAAGTTAAATTTAAAGTATTTCAAAGCTTAGTTTGTGTGTTAGAATCCTGGACTTGGCAGAGATCGTCCTGTATTTTCAGCCATGCTTTCAACTGGTTATTTTTGGGTGACTTCAGAAAAAAAACAGCTCTGTCCTCAGCTGATACTTGAGTCATAATATCCTGTTTAAGACATTTTTCCCGCAAGTGTTGACTGAGTCCAGAACTGAGAAATCTACTACAGATCAGGTCACAGCTGTTACGGTTCGCATTGATCCTGTTGAGACGTTGCTCTAACACTTTTAAACATGAAGGTGAATGACAAATCTCTACGCTGCTTTAGTCAGAAATAATAAAAAAAAAACGACATGTTTGTCTTTAACTGATTCTGTTAAAGACAGATTTGTGACGGCGGGTTCCTCACCCTGATTCCTGGTTGGAGGTGGGCTGTCCACGCAGCCGGGCAGGTAGGCCCCAGTGGGAAACATCCTTTGACTCGCGGGCGTCTCCCCAAAGGTGCCGACCCGACAAGGGCCTGAGCCTGTGAACTGGCCGGAGAAGTGAACGGTAAAGGCCCCGTGCCCGCAGTGCGGGTCCTCGTTTAGGTCAGCGGCCCCCCAGTTGGGCTCCTGCTTTATCAGGGAGTGGTGGGAGTTCAGGGAGCTGTAGGGAGGGCCAGGGTGAAGGTCAAGCAGCTGGGTCCATTGGCCGCCTCCGACAGGTATCCCTCCAGCTCCTGGTAGGGATGGCACAGGGGGTGCTGGTGGCAAGAGGGTCAGATCGCAGACATCTGACCCCACAGACATGCCTCCGAAGTTCAGTTCAGTCAGCATCGCTGAATGCAGTTCAAAGCAGTCCAAACAGAAAATGGATGATACTCCAGCAAAAAGGAATAAATAAATAAAAAAAAAGACTCAGGTGATCCTAAGAGGTTATCAGTAAGAGTAGGTGAAAAACCAAAACGTTTGGAGCCAAATCTTCTTCAGAAACAAACATAAGTTCTCACAGTGCGCTTCCAAAGTCATTTTTTCAGCCTCTTATGATGAAGGGAAAAAAAAAACACTTAATTGAAAATTAAAAACCTGGATGACAAACTTTGAAGCTTCTCAGGTAACCTGCAAAAGAATTAGGATTAAGCATTAAGACTCCTGAGTTAATGGTGTCTGGATGCTGTGTCTCTACATTGTCTGGCTTTCCTTTTTCTCCTGAAGCCTGAAATACTGCATAACTCTGAACTGAGGGAGGAGCCAGATGACTCCTCTGCTTTGGCCGACCAGCTACAGGCTGCAACAAACTTAGTAGATTCTGACAAATGTCACCCTTGCTTTAGAGGGTGTTGCTCTCCTGCTCTTTGTCCAAGCTGAGGCGTTGAGGGTTTGAGTGAGTTAATTAGATGTTTAGTATTTCTGTTTGTGATCGCGTGCAATCGGTTGTCTTTAGCTGTAAAACTTTAACATAAAATGAAAATGTTTGAATTCAAATTATGTCCCTGAAAAAAAACTTACGAGATGTTGTCTGGAAGTTTTTGAGTATATCATCAGACGTCATGTTCAAGTTCATGTTCATGTACAATAATTAAGCACCGTAGGAAAACAGCATGAAGAAAACTGGATAAAAATAAAACATATTAATCAGACAAAAGATACAGAAAAGATCCGTTTTGTCGAGGTGAGTTTTTGCTTGCTGATGCAACAACGTGGAAAAAAAAAAGCAGTGTTTATTGTATCATCTAAAAGTGTAATATAAACTCTAAAAGTCAAAGTGGTTTTGTGTGAATTTTCTCCTTTTGGACTCCTTTGCTAAAAGCATTTCGCATAAAGTGCACGGCCTTGGAGCAAAGCCACATCACACAAAAGGATAATTATTTATTAGTGGAGGAGAGAGGGAGTTCAGTGTGGGTGTGTGTCAGACACAGAGGTTCCAGCTTCGACTCTAACTTTACTCAAAGTGGAGCTGTTTGCAGGAATGCAGGAGCTTCAATAGGCCTGCAAAAAGTAGCCAGCTGCTGCGGATCTTTTAACATTGTGATATTTTTCAAATCAACACACGGGCTCCTCCTTCCCCTCAAAGCCGAGAACAATCAAAAAGCGTTACAAATCAATGTTTTTGCTGTTTATTTATTTAATGAAAAGCAAGAACGTTTGCTACATTAATTGTAACAAAGTGGTTACCCTTTTTTATATTCCCACAATAACAATACTTTTAAAATTATTTTTGCAGGCACATTGAAACGTGATTCAATGATTACTCTTTTTTTTTTTTGGTGATGTTTAGAAACTTACTGGAATAGGATTTTCAACTTCTATCCATTGCAAAGTTAGCAAAACAAACAAACAAACAAAAAAATATAGCGACATGTCCTGTGACCTAATGAAACAAAGAATATCAGTTCTGCCTGGAGAAAATGGGCCAAAATTCAGCAACCTTTGCAGATATTGCTTCTAAATGATAACGCTTACCTGAATTTGATGTAAGAAAATCACCCAAAAAACTGGCATCACAGGGCAAGGATAAGTGGCAATAGGAGACGTTTCTTTTATAGTCACTGCTTTTAAAACGCTGGCAGTGACTCTGTCCACCCACTTTTTTTAATGATTATAGAACCTCAATCAATAGTTTAAACTGACACAGACAAAATGTAATTATTTTTTACATTTTATCTGCATTTGAATGCATCAGAACTGAGCTTGTGTTTTCTCAGACTCCTCTCTCTTGTCTTGGGCAACATTAGAGAATTTCAATTCCCGCGGGAAAAGCTGGCAAACGCAACAGCTGCACACACACCAAGGTAAACATTTGTAGTTATTCCCACAGAGCCTTGATTCAAAGCTAATTTATTAATTTCCATTGTTTGTGCCTCTGGAGGGAAACCGTTTTGCAACCTTTCTGAAAATAAATCAAGTTTTCGCCACTTTTGCATGGTTGCTTATGAATGCAAGATTAAGGCTGGATCCAGTCTCCTCTTTAGCATGTTATAAACTAACATATTGCATTTATTCTGAGTCAAATAACTTGTTGCTGAATATGTTCTACATTGTAAAAGTAGTTAAAGCAATCTGTTAAATATTACATTGTTGCTTTAGTGCCACTTTTCCCTCAATGTTGAAGGTTGGGACCAGTGTGACCATTTTAATCTATGTTATATTGTGAAGTTATGAAAGTTTCATAGGAAACTGTGGACATTAAACGTTAAAAACTTGAAAAGACGGACCTCCACATGAAATAGTAGTGCTTCATAAAACCTCTGTGGTTTAATTCAAAATGACCTTTATAAAGACAGAAAGTATTTTTAATATCTTAGTTCAAAACAGTATTAATAAGGCATTTTGAGAGTTAGGAAAGTTGTTTAAAAGTAGGAATGTACTGATCCACTTTTTCACTTCCAATACTGATTCACATATCTGACTTTTAATACCGGACAATACCGATCCGATACAGGAAAACAGAAAAAAAAAAAAGTTAGTTAGTAGCACTGAACTGAGTAAGGAAAACAAATCAAAAAGGGAAAAAAATAAATAAAAGTGGAGTTTTTCAGACATGCAATGATTTTTGTTTATTTTAAGTGGTGATGATAAGACTATTCAGGTGTTTCATAAAATGTTTCCTCTTTCATGCGTGTTCTTCATCACATCTTAAGGTATTTTGAGAAGCACTTATAAATTTACCCAAGATATTCTGAGCCTAAAGCGTAAAGCATGACATTTGTTCTAGCATCAGAAAGTCAATTTCATCCCATTTTAACACATCATACAATCTGAAATAAATAAAAGGTGTTAAGAACTTCATAAAAATGATGTGTTTTCGAAGTTCATTGTTCAAGCTTTTTCTTCCAAATCACACAAGATTTTGTTTAAACTTAATAAAAATGGACATTTAATTCATTTCATGCTCGACTGAGTTCAAACTACTAAAAAGCCCATCAGATTTGAGGCAGGAGACTCTAGAGTTTGGTGCTAAAGAGGTGAACAGTATTAACCACTGTCTGTCATCACCATCTGGAACATGGCTTAGGGTTCCAGTGAACATCACTGACCCGGTATCAACTTTAAAACAACTGCTGTGTGAGGGAAGAGGGGAAAACAGAGGGGCTGGGAAGAGAAGTCACTTTTAAAGTGATGAAATCAGCAGACAAACTGCTGACTTGGCCTCACAGACAGTTTTTAGTCATGATTGCAAAATTTTAAGCGTGAAACCTTCAATATTTTTTTGCGTATAGCCAATGCCAAATCTGCCGTATTTGTAAATTTATTAAACTTTTTTTTTTGTCTCAGCATTTTAATGTTTTAGTATTTCTTATTTTTGTAAAACTGTATTAGTTTAGCTTGAGCTTAAAAATTCTCCTTCTGTGTGGTTTTGTGACCACATGGAAAAATAAGTGATCCCTGACTTTATTTTTTTTTCTTCTTTCCAGAAATAAACAAGTGCAAAAGGCAAAACTGTCATCCCCAAGGAGAACGTTTTCACGTAGCGGGTTTGGAAATAGCTACAAAGAAAATTAATTTCTCCCAGAACAATTATAAAAAAAAGCCCTCTGTGGTCCACTCATCACAAACAAACACAAAGTAAAGTAATGTAGTGTATGGACTAAAGGTTGTGGCACAGTTCAAAGTGTGTTGCCAAAACTCGGAGGGAGAGACAAAATGCGAGAGGCCTCAGCCAACGCAAATGCAGGCAGGCCGTGCCTTAAGCAGAGGAGTCTTTAGCGAGGATTCATCAAAGGTGACAGGGCCGGGGGAGAAAACGACCCTTTCAGGCCATATGACGAATGGCAGTCCCCAAATACATCCATTCTTCAGATCAATCTCTGGTTAACTCAGGGTTTAAAACAACATCTCAGTGCAGGAAAAAGGGAAACGGTCAACGCCGCCTCCGACCCTTAACAAGAAATAGACAAGCCTTTTAGCACAATGAGTAAGAGGAAATCTGAGAAGGTTATGGCTGCGGCAAAAGGAAGCATGATAAACTATATAGAAATGGGATCGGGAAGAGGCAAAAGAGGGGAATTACTTTTTTTTTTCATTTCAATAAACATCTGTATCCATGCTACTGCATTTGAAGAGAGGCTGTTTACTGCTTCTTTTCTTCTTCTTTTTTTTACCGTTTACTGAATAAAAAAAAAGCGGGATTAACTTACAATTTAAAAAAACAAAAAACATAATACAACTAACAACTTGTAGTGCATTAGAGTGCTACAATAGAGCAACAGGTGGTATTTGAATGTGCTGAGAGTAGCATAAATAAAAGCTCAGACCTTCACTTCTCTTTGTGGGCATGGAAACAAGTTGATAACAAACCCAAAAACATGGTGTTGAAATGTTTCATCATTTCCTTCTATCTGCCTTAATCTCTGTGAAATGGATAAGACTGAACAGACACGTCGGGAAGAACTTTTCTGTTTTCCTTCGGCTATAAGCGCATTTCATTTACTGACAAAATACGATCCACACTATACCCTAACCTCGTCTAAATAAATAAATAAATCCCCCTCTAATCATAATAACTGGCTTTTCCACTCTTGAGATGAAAGTTACCTTTAAGATTTTTGTTGATAGAGAGCAGAATTTGTGGTCCAATCAGTCCGGACCTATGGAGGCCATATTTACTCATTGCTTTTCTTAACATTGGATCACGTACACAAACTTTAACAGAGATCATTGAGGTCTGCTATGCTTGAGATGTTGTTCTGGGTTCTTGTGTCAAGTTCACTTTTGAAATAATTATGATTGGTTGGCCAGTCCGGGGAAGATTGACCACTGCTCCATGTTTTCTCTTTTTGTTTACAGTTGCTGTCATTGGAGCTGTATCTCAAAGTCAAGCAGGGCATAAGGTGTTGCTTTTTGAGCTCGTTCAGTCCACTTCATGTTGTCAGATGTGCTCTATTTAAATAATTAATTTGTTTTACTGGTAAAAGTAATTGGGACATGGTTGTGAAACTGTACAAGAAGAAGAGTAGTTAGTCATACATTTTTCATCATTTACCAAAGGGGGGATTTTCCACATTGAGCCAGGTTGACTTTGTAGTTTCTGTGGTGATCTATTTTATTTTATTTTTTGTTAACTGAAAATATCTGTGAGGGCAAACTCAAAAAAGTCTCAGGTGTTTGGGTTTTCCTTTTTGTCCTTGTATTTTGACTATATGCTCTTATGTGAGTGTTAGTTTTTCCCCTAATTTCATTTTGTTCTGTAGTTCCACTCCATATGTGTCTATTTGTGTCCATCCCTGTTTGTTCTTTGCCTCAGCTGTTCTACATTTCCCTGAGTAGCTCACCTGAATCCATTATCAATCTTCACTCTTATCTCATTTTACTAGCTCACTGATTTTCATAGTTCTTTGTTGGTTTCTCATTGTTTTTGTTGTGCTCCTTGTCCTGCTCGTCTTGCAATTTCTCCATTAAGTTTCTGTGTTGTTGTTTAAAAAAAAACAAAAAAAAAACTTTTTTTTCCATAGTCAATTTCCTTATTTTACACGTCAGTAAATTTTCTTTACAGCTGTCACTGAATACACATCGTCAGCACCTTTAGTCTAAACACGAAAAGGAGCACTTGGAGTTCCTATAACTTAAATGTATAATTAATCGTTCTAAAAAATCCCTTTTGACAAGCACCTTGCTGTGGAAGCCTTCACTCACAACACACCAGTGCAGTTGTTTACATCTCGTGTAAACATCAATCGCAAAATCTACTGAAAACATGAAAACAATTATCAACGTGTCAAACTTTTTAACTCCTGCTCAAAGCAGAAATCCAAGTTTTATCTGTCAATTTGTGAACCTGTTTATTCATCAATAAACAAACTTTTTTTTTCTTCTGCCAAGCAGTGCTACTGATTCAGACTAGAGTCTTAAAAATGACACGTTAAGTTCCTCTTTGTCTCATATTTTCTCGTAGTTTTATTGCTTCATGTTGCAGCTCTTCTCATTTGGAGTGAATTGGTAGCTAAATAGGTAGCTAAAGTAGCCAAACTTGTTACCATAAGACTCCTTCCAGTTCAGTTTAAGTTGTTAATTGCCTCACAGTCCTTCTTTCCTCAGCAGCAAATAAGAATAACAAGTTGCTAGGACGATATGTGTGCAATAACTTACTGTAACAGTGACGGCTACGTTCGTTGCAACACCTCTTGTAGCTATTCCTAACTGGAACTGTCACAAACAGGATGTCCATGACCTAACAACGAAAGGTTAAGGTCATCACCAAGAGGTCATCACCAAGTGTTTTGCACATTTAAAAGACTAAACTTACCCTGACTGCCATCTGGTAAAAGACAGAAAATTATTTGGACAAAAATCTTTGGACAACATTTATGGCGTAAAACCGTGTGTTTTGTTTAAACATGGAAGACAGGTTCTTTGAAAGCCCTTTTATTCGATATATAAATTGATTCATAAACAAGATGACCAGTTATTTGGTGATTACTTCACTAAATAGGTCGGCTAAGAATTAATTAATGCGTATCGACTGCAAATTTTAAACAGGCCTAGAATGTGTGATTTTTAAGGACAAGTCCTCTTCTCTTCCAGTGGATGTCCAAATTCAGATGTCGTGACTCAGAGCTGTATTATTTCTGAGCAGTGATTACTAAATTGGAATGCTTAAGCAAAGGCTTGTTTTCACTATTATCGGAGGTGTATGACACACTGTCATCATCAAACTTGCGTCGACCAAATACGTTGAAGACAAAAAACTGCATTTTTGGGAGTGGTTCGTTTACTATGCGTCACGTAACATATTTGGTTGTTGCTGAATAATCTTTTTCTCATCCCAGCAGGTGGCTTTATGTCAGGATCAAGGCCGGCCCTTATCAGTTCTTTACAGTAAACCACAGCCTCTTCCTCACTGTCACGCCCTGACAGCTGTGGCTGGGGCGTAAACAGTCATCAGAAAACATTTCAGATATCTCTAGTGGTTAATATCTGTTGTCATACCCTTGAGCCTCATTTTGAGGCTAGGCGAGCAAAAGTTACCGGTATGACTCTGAGGTGCGTGCGCAGTGTTGGGAAAATATAAAAATCACCACAATCAGCACAGAATGTAACCATAACGTCTGACGCTACATTTAAGGCAGGGGGGCCCAAAGTCGTTCCTCGAGGCCCGGCATCCTGCATGTTTTAGTTTTCTCCCTGGTGGTAGTAACAACCTGTTCAGTATGTCAATGTTCTTCTTAGGCCTCTAATGAGCCATCATTTGAACCAGGTGTGTTAAACCAGGGAGAGAACCAAAACATGCAGGATGCCGGCCCTCAAGGACCGACTTTGTTCACCCCTGATTTAAGGGAAAGTGTTGCTTTACCAGCCGTCACTCTCAGGACTAATGCAGTGACACATTTCAGTCTTAAGTAAATTGTAAACATAGACGTTCTGGATTGCAAAATAGTTTTATGCAACAAGCCTGGTCTTATTGTTATGTACTGATCCCAGAATGTTTTGGGGATGTTTTCTTGAAATGAAGCTGTCTAAAAAAAAATAATTAAAGTTTAACAACCAAAGCTTTACATTCTCAAGTTCAGGATGAGCAAGTAAAAGCTATGCAGCTAAAAGCTATTACTATCACATTTACTTTATAATATTATTTGCAAACAAATCTGTTTTCAAGCCACTGAATATTTCAATCCGGACTTAACCGTTAAATATACTGGATTCTTTCTGGTGATCACAATCTAAGGTGCCTTAAACTTAGATAAGACACTGAGCAAGCTCTTTTGTGAGAGTATGTCGTAATACAAAGAAGGTTTCAGAAATCTAAAACAGCATTTTAACGAATCTCTGCACAGTTTTAGATATTAAACTATAGATTTTTCTCATGTTGTCCCAGTTTGATGTTACATCTGAGCAGTGAGCTATATCTTCCAGATTAATTTCTGCCCCAGAGATGGTGGATTGTTCAAAGAGCTCAATGCAATAAACTTGTCCTAATTTGATGATGAATAAAGCTAATTTGGGCGACCTTGCTTTGGAATTTTGATAATTGATTCAGATGTGCTGATAACAATCACCTAATCATTTAATAACTTCTCCAAGTCAGACATCTGACTTGAACTGCACTGTATGATTGATCACTTGGTGTGGAAGGTCACCGCAGGAACCAAAGAGCTGTTAGAATAGTCCATAGATGCTCAGTGGGATAAATGATGTGCTTACACAAGCACAGTGCTGCCCCGTTGGACAGGGAACTTTAACTGATTGCATCTGGAATGAGTTTTTGAATTATTAAAATGGTATGAACAAATATCTTGCCAGTAGGGGGCAGAAAAACAGTGCTTACTAACAATAAATAATGATTTATGCACCTTTAAGTGGAATACCATAAATTATCACAAATCATCACATGTTCCAAAGCTTAGACTTAGGCAACCAAACTTGGAAAACATATCTTTAGATAGCTTGGTTTTTCAACAATTTATCATTTTCTAATTGCTAAAAAAGCAAATGATAAGTTCAAAATGAATGTATTTCTTTGTAGATGTTGACCATGATAGTCCATTAGAAGTGTCTCCATGGGAAGTTGAAGGTTCTGGACACATCTCCGCTGGCTTTATTTGTTTATTTGTTAATTAGAGTACATGTTGGGGGGATGGGAAGGGGGCTGAGGGGTGTTAAAGGGGGTTAGCTTATAAGTAATTAACAAGTAATTTGCTGCACCTAGAGAAATGGGGAAGTTACTCATGCATTGCACCCTGACAAGGTCACCGACTGATAGATGAGCTGGAGCAAGGGGATTTTTCAGAGATTGTGAAGGCAGCCAGAACTGTGGGAACCAGACAATTAGTCGGAGGAAGGGTAGGCAGCCACGCTGGATGACGACCGCGAGACTAGTTTACATGAGTACTCACCACTTGGCTCAGTGGCAGGGAGAGAGCCCAACACCTGGGTTCAAGCAGCTCCTAACACACTGTCATTTATCTTTGAGGAGGCTGATCGGGCGGTTTGCCAGCATTTGAGGAAGAGCATGTGCTCATTCCCATCAAGCAGAGATGAGTCAATGAAGCCAAACTGACCAAAACATTGATATCTGGAATGTTCACACCAGAAAATATGTAAGGGAACGATAGCTGTTGGTTATTATATAAACAGTACATGTGTAAATATATATTGAGCATCTAATATGTTTTACTAGAGCCGTAGTTTTTACAATGAGGAGAAAATATTCAGTATTCTGGTTCTCAGAATGCTGAATCCCAGAGAAATAAAGAGGTTAGATTATAAATTAGAAACATTAAATTCTTCTGCTTGGATGATATGAGTTATATCTAGAAAGATATGTCAATATTTTTGTTGTCTCAATGTAACCAGAACAGTGATGTGCCAAGATTTTATATATATAAAAAAAACCCCACTTCACTAATTGCTAAATTTTCTAATTACCAACGTGTCATGTTTTTTAATGGTGCTACAGCTGGAGTTGGGCTCTTTCTATTTTTTTTCTTTTCCACTGAAACGTCCCTTTGCAAAGCAGTTTTAGCACATAAAATGCAGACATGCAGTGCTGTGAGAAAAAGGTTTTGCCCACATTTTAATTTCTTTGTTTTTTTTGTTTTTTCTTTTTTACAGTTACATATATCAGATCACCAAAAGACAAGCAGCAGATAAACTGAGTATATGTGAAATGTTGCTTTCAAATCATAAATGCAGTTACTAAGTGAGAAATAACAACTAGAAGTGGACTTGCTGGCCTTTTTTAGATTGTTGTCTTGCTGCACAATCCAAGAGCCTTTTTTGCTCTTGAAGGATTTCTGGTGGAGAGCAAAATTCATGATTCCTTCAATAGCAAATATTGTTCAAATATTGACGTTGCTAACCAGCCACAGACGATCATACCACCACCATGTATGAAGTTATTTTTCTGAAATGGGGATGGAACAGAATGCTCATCTTTTAAACAGTTCCACTCAATTTCATCAGTCTGCAGTACATTTTTCTAAGAGTTGTTGTTGAGATCATCAAGACATTCTTTTGGAAAGTACAAATTGTTCTTTCTATTTTCATCGTTTTAATGAATGAAAGCAAGATTTGAAAAATGCATTTCACATTTTCTCGGGCTCTATTTGTCTAATATTAAATTTGTTTTAATGATCCAATAATTTAAGTGTGATGCTAACCAAACATTGAGGCAAATCTGAGGGAACACATGAGTTTTGGCATCACTCTAAATTACGGCTAGCTTGTCTTATTAATAGTAATTAACTGACAATAGCATTTGAGCTTAAAACGTGAAAAAGTTGGGGTTGATAATATTCCCAAATTCTAACCATAAGAAACTATCAGCACGTTCTGGTTCGCTGTCATTTTGCATCAGTTTCCACTGGAGGGGATCCTCAAAACATTTTCCAGTGCAGGTAACTGTTGACATATTAGCTTTTTCTGTTAGGTTGTATGTATTTTCAAGAAACAGTTTATATTGTTAGAAATGAGTTGACATGCTTGAACTACCGTATTTTCCGCACTATAAGGCGCACCTAAAAACATTCAATTTCCTCAAAAGCCGACAGTGCCCCTTATAATCCGGTGCGCCTTATATATGGACCAATATTGAGCCACAACAGGTCTAGCAACTACGGTAAGCAGCAGTCGACTTCATTTTCCCCCTTAGAAGAAGAAGCGCGCGGTGCATAATGGGATAGTTGTCAGAACGCTGGTTTGTAATCTATTAATAAAGTTTGACTGACCTATCTACCTACCTACCGTCTATAATCAGGTCGTCTGCAGGTCATTTAGCACCACCTTCTCCATGAACATGCTGTCTGCGAACAGAGAAGGGTGACCATCGTCCGGCCACGCCCCGGCCCAGTCGCGGAAGGCTCTCCTCGCCGACCGGAGCCGTACTGTTTTGTTAACATTCCCGTTAGTGCAGCTCCATCTAGTGGATGCATAACGTAACTCCAGCCTCTACTGTATACCATGCGCCTTATAATGCGGTGCACCTTATATATGAAAAAAAGTTTTAAAATAAGCCATTCATTGAAGGTGTGCCTTATAATCCGGTGCGCCTTATAGTGTGGAAAATATGATACTCTTTATGGGTGTTTGGGGCTTTTATGCTACCTTCTACAGCTAATTTGCTTTATTTTAACCTTGTAAACAGTTATCAGCTAAATTTTCTGTTGGTGTTACTGATGGCACTGCATGTAATCTCAGTATTTCTTGTACAGCAGTTTGAAAATCTTGAGCCTAGATAAAAAGGAAAATTCAAAAAGATATAATGTGCCTAATAAAACAGAATAAAAACAATCCCATCCAACCCTATCATAAGTTTTTATCAGATAACTACATTTCTGTTTTTTTAAGCATACTTTGCACACTCAACACAAAGAGTTCAGTGTGCCGCAACGCTATGTGACTTTTTGAAGACTTATTTCAATAAACAACAAACAATGTCTCACAGGCACCTGGTGCTTTAAAGCCTGCGAAACTCTTATTCGGGACTTGAAAAACACCAGACACTTGACAACAGCTGTTAATCAGATAATAGAAGCCTCAGATTTACACAAGCACTCTTGTGGAGAAACACTCATAAATTCTTTGACATGACAGCGTACAAGGGCGGGGAGAGAGTGAAGGTAGGATTTGGTACCAGGCGCCTTCCTTCCCAACACAATGACGCATCAAATGAGCTCTGTGGTGAAACACTCAATCAGCCATTTCCCCTCAGCACACTATTTTCAGGCAGTGGATGATCTGATGAATGCAGCAGAGTTAAGTTCCCTTTCTGTAACTGCTAAAAGAAATATGTGACAAGAGGACTTTCAAGGAATTATGACATGGCATGAGGTGTCTCCATAGCCCATGAATCCCCAAAATACATATATTTTCCTGACAGATGAACTGTGAGCAGCGAGGCAGGGAAATGAAAAACACTCCGCAGTATCCTTACCCTGGGATGAGCCTCCTCGCCACCCAAACATCAGTAACCCGACTCCATAGTTTTAAGATGACCTCTTGCTTCACTTGCCCTGCTCACCTTAATCACCAGAGTGACCTGCCATCGCAACAATACACAGGATCCCCTTTGGTGCAGGGGCCCAGCACATGTTCACATAGCGGGTATGTGGTGGGGGAGACGTGCCCTCTGACACTGACAGTATGTCCACGTTGGCCGTCTCTGGGTCAAAGTTTCTGTGTTAGTCTGCAAAAATGAACTAGAGCATAATATGATAACCTCAACACAGAATCGCTCTTTACTTGAATCCATAACATTTAACGTTGATCTTTCAAAGAGGAGACATTTACGTGAAAGAAGATTAAAAACTGAAAAAAGATTAAGAAAGTTTGAGGTTTATTTTTCAAGTGATAAAGAGTAAAAGGGAATTTTCACACACATTTAGCCATATGCTGAGTTAAGGGAGCCTAATTCCCACTTTTATAGTGGGCACTTAGTTTTTCAGTATCATAGCTCAAAGTATCTGGTATTCTGAAGCTATGACTAATTGTGATTATTAAAAAAAATTGAAAATCAGACATTTGTGCATCTGGCATTCATTGTCCAGGAGGTAACTTAAAAACCTCATACATTTGTATCATTGAATAATTCATAGATGGTCCACGACACTGTTAACATTTTACCCCACCTTTAGAATATTGTATGCATTTCAAACAACAACAAATAAATCTGTTGAGGGAAAAAAATATTTTTTTTAAAATCCACAATAACATGCTTTCATACGTCAGCACACCCTTGATGTACTAATTTGCTGAAGTCCCTCAGTTTTCACATTCTGTCTAATTGTGTTCACATATACAATCAACTATAGTGAATCAAAAAGTAAGCAGTACAATGTCTGAACTAAGGATTGTAGGAAAATGCATTTCTTCAACACTGTGTGAATGTGTTACAGACTTATTAAACCAAAGTGAAATCTTGGGCCAAAATGTTAGAAGGTATGTTTTGAACAAAAACAAGCACTAAGCAGCAGTATAAATACACCATGTGAAATACACGGTGAAACACACTGGTCACAGTTCACACTTTGAGTTACTTTTCTCAAATGGAGCAAGGGTTTTTGTCAATATGGATGAAATTATACATTAGTACAGGTGAGTTTTGGCCCAAAATATTGACCTTTCTGTTATAAACTTTAAGATAAATTCATTTCCTGGGATCAAGTGCATTGGTCCCTCATGCATCGAAACGCCATGCAGCAAGATGCTGACTTACTTGCATCTTGGCGATTTCCAGTTTGCAAACTTCACCTTTTTTCCCCCAAAGATAACAATCTTTATGGTCAAACATTTCAGGTATAAGATATGTCTCCAAAAATTAATGTCGTTGTCCTTGAATGCAATCTGTAATCTTGGGTTTTATGTTGCTTTTAGAATAATGGCTTCTTCTATGATATTCTTTTTCCTTTTACACATCAGTAATGAGTACAGCAACTCTCTTCACTCAGCTCGAATAGGGGCAAAATGGCTCTTTGGTCTACAAAGGTTGCAGACCACTGCTACTAATGAACTCAATGCTTATTTCACAAAATTAATACAATGAAATAAACTTTCCAGGATAGAGCAATGGTCTTCTTATTGATTTGTTTTTACTTTTTACTCAACACTTTTTCACATACACTAGTGTTATTTAATCAGGTTAAAGTTCGACTTATTTGTAGCATAAGTAAAGTTGAAGTGTCGCTATTTCCCAGACTCCAGAACGACGGAGACAAAACGGTGAATGAATTCAGACGCACTCGCTACCTGAACGAGTTTAGCCGGCTGCTGCCGCTTTAAGAAAATGACCCGGATGAGCATCAGTCTACCCGGTGATGCTGGACTTTCTTTTCCGCTCTGATCTCGGAGTTGGTGAGAGCGTGGATTTCATCATCTAGGCTCACCGTATCACCAAAATGAGCGTCCCAGCTTTTATCGACATAACAGAAGAAGACCAGGTGTGACCTACGTTTTCTAAGGATATTAAAATTGTGTTTTCTAGTTTAAGAGTAGAATTAAAGCTACGCATTTAAATAAGTTAGCATGTGCTAGCTACCTGCAATGCTAACTCGGTACTTAGCAACTGACTGATGGTAAAGATGTGTATGTTAGCAAATTCATAAATAAGACTGATTGTTTAAAATTTGGATTAGTAACATGGGATTTCGTTTACATATGTTGCTCTTAGATTATTCTAGATCAAAATATTTGCAGTCAAAAGTAACGCTTGACTAGCAAATGCTACCCACCTACATATATGTCGACATAAACAAAGTTGCAAAAAAATAAATAAATGAATTAAACAAAGCATTAACATTATTCATTCGATTTCCCTTTAGCTTATGCCACTAAATTCAAACTATATTTTTTTGTGGTGGAGATTAAGCTATAGTTTCAATGCTTTAGCAGGGCTTTTTCTAACACTGCGTGATTTTACATAATGCGCAATGTATGCCATCAAACTTTCAAACAGGTTGGATATCGGCGCAGATGATTGGCGTTTGACTTAGTTGAAATGTTTTAAATTTTACAAATGATAAAACATGTAGAGATGTCTAAAGTGCAGCGTTCAGTTCTCAAGAATAACACAAATTAGGGCCACCAACACAGGTGGTCGATGCAGATGAAGACATTTTGTTTTTAATTGGGGCAAATTTGTTACATTCAATTTAAAATCTTATTACAATAGAAAATACTGGTAGCATAGCGTTTTTGCTTTTAATAACCAGGCTTTATTAGCATTTTCTTTAATTTCCTAGTAAATGAGACATCTATCTAGTGACTTTTATTCAAAAGCAGATTTTTTTTTGTTTGTTTTATCCAAGACTGTTTTTAATTAATCTGAGACATGGCTAAATTCATTTAGCATTTAAAGACAGAGAGAGAGTGACACCAAATCACATCCCGATTGCTGGTATTAGACAAATTTTAATCAAATCTTGAAGAACAATTTATACTTCTCTCACCTTCTGCCCCAGAAAGCTTTATAATTAACATATCACATGCTTAGTTGATTGTTGAGCAGGTAAAAAAGAAAACGCCGCCTTTTTTTATTTTGTATTTTTGTTTGGACACTCCTGATCTAGACTAAGAAGTAAAAAGGTTCCAGCACTTTGATATTTCAGAGCATAGACAGACAAACAGGATATTTATTAAATTCTTAACTAAAATACAGCTTGCTCTTGTTGGACCAACAGTTCAATATTCTGCAGTGGAAACATCCTTGACATTAACAATGTCACTGTAACATTTCAGGCTTCAGAACTGAGGTCCTACATCAAGGCCAAAGGAGCTGACATCTCAGAGGAGAATGCTGAAGGTGGACTTCATGTTGATTTGGCTCAGATCATTGAGGCCTGTGACGTCTGCCTGAAGGATGACGATAAAGGTGGGTGAGGAAGAACGCTTCTGTGTCTCACACGTTGACTCTTGTTATTGGCAAGAAGGTGAAATTGGTTTCATTTTAATAGGAGAGAAAAAAAATCTTAAGTTCAGGTGTTTGAGTCCCCCGTCTGCTTTCTGTCTCTTTGTAGACGTTGAGAGCGTAATGAACAGCATCGTGTCTCTGCTGTTAATCCTGGAGCCAGAGAAGCAAGAAGCTCTGATTGAAAGTCTGTGCGAGAAGCTGGTAAAGTTCCGTGAAGGAGAGCGACCCTCCCTTCGCCTGCAGCTGTGAGTCCTGTCAAACATGTCGATTTCCGATAATTAAAAGATCAAAGGTCCGCGTCAACGGTTGTGTTGCTTTTTCAGGCTGAGCAACTTGTTCCACGGCATGGACGAGAACACTCCGGTCAGGTACACGGTGTTCTGCAGCCTGGTCAAGGTGGCTGCGACCTGTAACG